ATGTCAGTGTATCCCGCACAAAATATTAACATTTTATAGCCAGCCCCTTTTCTCGTGATGTCCTTCTTTCGGCGCGCGTTCCTGTATTATATACCGTATGACTTGTGGGACATTAACCATGCAGAAGATGTTTGTTTAACGCATTTCTAGTTTCCGGGAAATCCTTTAATATTTCCAGTCACCACTTCACACATCGACCTATGGTCAATCTGTTAGGTTTCGGTGGGCTGCTTCTGTGCTTCTCTCTGCATGACATGTATCTCTAATTTGTACAAAAATTAAATACACCCGTCAAGATTGCTGTAGGCTGGTTCACATGGAGGTCGTATCCGAGAGCCAAGACCTCGAGTAGTATGATGAATATTACGCTTCGGAGCCCTGGAAGGCAGTCACATGGCAACGACAAGTGATAAATACTTGAGATGAGTTCTTGAAAGTGACGAAGAGAGCGATAGGTGTGTTCGGTTTTATACGCTAGGTAAGCCCCAACAGCAGACGGGGAGTGCTCGATGCAGACAGTTTAATTGCCACTTTATTAGGACTAGCAGCAATTGCAACATGCAATTCTTCCCACAGATCGCTGACGTAACCATTATAAATGAAATTCCCGAATTCCTTAATCCTTCAAAATGCGAGTCAGTGTCACGTGGTCCTTATTCACACTATGCCGCCGATAGGTGTGTTCACTTACTTTACAGGTTCCAAGGTTAGAATAGCCTACACAGTGTGGGCTAAAGTCAGCTGACAACGCATAGGCCGCGCATTCGCGGGTGTGTGTGCTTTCTAATAATATACTACAGCAGGAGCAGCACAACGCAGAGAAAAAAAAAAGAAAACTATCAGCGAATAAAAATCGCAGTTTCGGATAAACTATCAGACATGTTCCCGTCAGCGATAATTTTGACGAAATTACGGGGTGCGATTTAGAAAGTTAGCGCAGAGCGCAGTGGCATCATTACCCATCCTCCCCCCTCCTTTTTTTAACCGCGAGACGGAAACTGGCATTGCGTCTCGCTTTCACGACCGGCAACTGATCAACCGCGTAAGTCAGTCAGCGAGATCATCTTGGTAGGTCGATGACCACAAGGCGATGGACAATGCCCAGAGGCTGGACACACCTCGAAAATGAGTCTGTCGGTTCGGTATGGGTTCGGTATGTTGATGACACGTTTGTCATCATTCGTCGAGACAAGATTG